GCTGCATTGGCTGCTGCTGGAGGCTGCATTGATGCTGGCTGCTGGAGGCTGCATTGATGCTGGCTGCTGGAGGCTGCATTGATGCTGTCTGCTGGAGGCTGCATTGATGCTGGCTGCTGGAGGCTGCATTGATGCCGGCTGCTGGAAGCTGCATTGATGCCGGCTGCTGGAAGCTGCATTGATGCCGGCTGCTGGAAGCTGCATTGATGCCGGCTGCTGGAAGCTGTATTGATGCCGGCTGCTGGGAAGCTGTATTGATGCCGGCTGCTGGAAGCTGTATTGATGCCGGCTGCTGGAAGCTGGAGGCTGCTGGAGCTGCATTGATGCGGCTGCTGGAGGCTGCATTGATGCTGGCGTCTGCTGGAGGCTGCATTGATGCCGTCTGCTGCTGGATGCCGTCTGCTGAGGCTGCATTGATTCTGGCTGCTGGAGGCTGCATTGATGCCGGCGGCTGGAAGCTGCATTGATGCCGGCTGCTGGAAGCTGCATTGATGCCGGCTGCTGGAAGCTGCATTGATGCCGGCTGCTGGAAGCTGTATTGATGCCGGCTGCTGGAAGCTGTATTGATGCCGGCTGCTGGAAGCTGTATTGATGCCGGCTGCTGGAGGCTGTATTGATGCCGGCTGCTGGAGGCTGCATTGATGCCGGTTGCTGGAAGCTGCATTGATGCTGGCTTCTGGAGACTGAATTGATGCTGGCTTCTGGAAGCTGTATTCATGCTGGAAGCTGTATTGATGCCGGCTGCTGGAAGCTGTATTGATGCCGGCTGCTGGGAGATATATTGTTGCTGAGGTGGATCTATTGTTGAAGGGGGTGTATTGTTGCTGGTTACTGGGGATATATTTTACAGCTTATCATTAACAAATATCATAAACTCCTAACCCTGACCTACAAAGCCGTTCACAACACTGCCCCTGACTACCTCACCAACCTGATCCCCAAGTACCGCCCTACCCGTACCCTTCGCTCCTCACAGGACCTCCTTCTATCCTGCTCCCTGGTCGTCTCCTCCTCCCATGCACGACTGCAGGACTTCTCCAGGTCCTCCCCCATCCTCTGGAACTCACTGCCCCAATCCATCAGACTGTCGCCTTCCCTCTTCACATTCAGGCGCACCCTCAAAACCCATCTCTTCAGGGAAGCCTACCCCACCCTCACCTAACGGCCATTCTCCCTCTTTCCTCCCACCCCTCATTCCCCTCAGCCACTTCCTACTGTACCTTTACCCCCTCCCTCCTAGATTCTAAGCTCGAAAGAGTAGGGCCCTCTTACCCCTCGTACGTTGTTTGTTGTTGTTGTACTGTGCCATGTATTGTCCCCCCCCTATTGTACAGCGCTGAGCAAACCCTTTGGTGCTATATAAACTCGAAGTAATAATAATAATAATAACAAATTCCATACAAATTACTTAGCACAACTTGATTGTTGGTTCTATATATTCTTTAAAAGGGACGGTACTGGGAGGTGGGTGGGGGGATCAACCACGAGACGGTACTGGGAGGTGGGTGGGGGATCAACACACGAGACGGTGCCGGTAGGTGGGTGGGGGGATCAACCACGAGACGGTGCCGGGAGGTGGGTGGGGGGATCAACCACGAGACGGTGCCGGGAGGTGGGTGGGGGGATCAACCACGAGACGGTGCCGGGAGGTGGGTGGTGGGGGGGGATCAACCACGAGGTGGTGCCGGGAGGTGGGTAGGGGGATCAACCACGAGGTGGTGCCGGGAGGTGGGTAGGGGGATCAACCACACCAAAATGCATGGTACTGCGGCACTGTGCGTTTTGGCAGGCGCAAACACTATATGCTGCCATTAAAAAATAAATGCACCTGCAAAGGGCAGTGCGGGAAAATGCGCAATTTGGTATGCGTTTCTGCACCGCAGCTGCTGTGAATAAGCCCCAAGAGGGGGTTTCCTCTCACTTCCTGTTGCGTCTAGAAGACTTTTAGTGACTATTGATGGGCTTGATGTTCGAGTCGATTGTAGGTTCGACTCAAACATTGACTGTTCGTTTGCTCCGGGGGGGGAGGGGTGTTCGGCCCATCCCTATTCACGAAGATGAATTTATCAAAAAGGGCACAAAATAACTTTCGGGCTTTAACCCTTTCCTCCTAAAAATGTCTTGAAAATATCTCGGCTACTTGAAATTCCTAATTGGAGTTTCCTCCTCCATACACCTCAGCGGTCGTCGCGAAAACTTTTTCTTTAGCTCAGTTTAATGAGAGCGATTCGGTGACGGCTGAGGATGCGGAAGCTGGGAGCCGCCTCTCCCTATGGTGTTTATTTTTGTTGGTGGTGGTGGATTTGACGCACTCGGGGGCTCATATTTACAAACAATGCAGAAGAGGAGCGGCGTCGGCACATTCGGGGTTAATGAAGCGGGTGCTGAGCCTCTGTCCTGTGGAATAATTAACACGCACATATAATGAGCTCTCTATAGGCTCTGCATGGCGCATTAGGGACCTGTATCCTCCGCAGCAACGCGCCCCTTTTGTCCTGCAAATTGGGGCCTCATTGGCAATTCTTTGGCTTGTCAAACAGAGGGGCCCTTGAAGGACAGGGTGGGTCACCTATGGCGGCAATGCATCATGGGTAGTGGAACCAAGCACAAAGGGAATCGGCCATTGGGGGTGTTCTCTGCAAGTGGCACCATCTCCACCAAACAAAAGTGGGTTTTGTTTTTTTTTTATTTTTTTGCTTTTTGTTTTATTTTTTCACCTCTCCCCAACCCTCCACTAAACACCCTGCATGTTGTATTTAATTTATTAGATTTTAAATTTTTTTTTGCTTTTTTTTGTTGTTTTATTGTGGTTTTTCCTTTAATAAACTGCAATGATCGTCGTCATGGATTGTTGTACTTTACATAGTTACTTTTTGTTACTTTTAAAAGTTACTTTTTATCATTTTTGGGGTGCGTCCAGTTCACAGTCCATTAACGAAATGCCAAAAAGGGAAAACAAAAATTGTCTCGCGCCTAGAAAATTAGGTTTTTCCTCCCAACTTTTTCCCTAATTTTTTTTTACCTGCAATGAACGGCGGATGCCGATTGGTCGTTATGTATTGTTGTACTTTACATAGTTACTTTTTGTTTCTTTTAAAAGGTGTTCGGTGTCGCATCATAGCGGCGTAGAGTAATCACCATCTAAAACCCTACAAATCACACTTTTTGTAAGTGTCAAGAAATGCTGACGGTTGCTAGGGGTTACTGTGAGTCTTTACCGATTGGTGGAATCCTGCTTTTTTTTTATTTTACAGATTTCACTTTTTTTGATCATATTTTCTATATATAGATACATTCCGTCTTTGGGGATTCTCTAGTTTTAGAGGCATAACGGTTGGCGATCGTTTTTGGGGTGCGTCCAGTTCACAGTCCATTAACGAAACGCCAAAATGGAAAAAAAAAATTTTCCTCCAACTTTATCCCTAATTGAGAACTTCAACCAATCCTGAGTGTGAACTTTCACCTCCCCCTAACCCTCCATTAAATGTCCTGCGTGTTGTATTTAATTTATTAGATTTTTATTTTTCTATTTTTTTGTTTTTTTTTTTATAAACTGCAATGAATGGTAGATACTGATTGGTCGTAATGGATTGTTATACGTTACTTTTTGTTCCTTTAAAGGTGTTCGGTGTCACGTTATAGCGGCGTGGAGTAGTCACCATCTAAAACCCTACAAATCACAATTTTTGTAAGTGTCAAGAAATGATGACGGTTGCTAGGGGTTACTGTGCGTCTTTACCGATTGGTGGAATCCTGATTTTTTTTTTTTTTATTAGATATATTTCACTTTTTTTTTATATTTTTTATATATAGATATATTCCGTCTTTGGGAATTCTCTAGTTTTAGAGGCCTAACAGTTGGTGATCGTTTTTGGGGTGCATCCAGTTCACAGTCCATTAACGAAATGCCAAAAAGGAAAAAAAAAGTTGTCTCACGCCGTTTTCCTCCAACTTTATCCCTAACTGAGAACTTCAACCAATCCTGAGTATGACCCTTCACCGCGCCCTAACCCTCCACTAAATGTCCTGATTGTTGTATTTCATTTATTAGATTCTTAAGTTTTTTTTCTATACATATCTGTGTGACGCAGGGCTCTGTGTGACACACCCAAGGGGGCGGGGTCCATGACACCCTGGGCTTTAAGTGAGTGACTTGAATGACTTGGGCGTCATTGAACCTAGAAGAGGACCAGTGCTGGACCACAGAACATTGAGTCCGGCCGAGTCCCTTGGTAGGTCGTCCCACGACCCCCATATACTATAACCCAAAGACCGAATATCTCAGTGGGAACTACAAGGTACAACAAAGGTGCAAATCATTGACATCCTGATAAAAAGTCATTCATTACAAAAGGTTAAAAAGGACAACACCTGGGAAAAGGTATTTGCTATACATGTAGAGCTAAACGTTTTTAAAAAAAAAAAGGGTGCCAGTTTGGGGTCCTTCAGACTTTGGGGGGGGCCAGAGGAGCCACCTGTGCAAGACTGAAGGGGAGGAGCTGGTACACCTGTGCAAGACTGAAGGGGAGGAGCCGGTACATCTGTGCAAGACTGGAGGGGAGGAGCCGGTACACCCAGGGGCGGACTGACTATTTGGGCACTGCCCGAGGGACCGGGGTAAGTGGGGGGCCCCATGAAATGCCCCTGATACCTTTCATAGTTTTTTTTGGGTGTGGTTTGAGTGTTGGCGAGGACACAGGGGCCCCATGATTTCCTACTTCCCGAGGGCCCCATGAGTTGTCAGTCCGCCCCTGGGTACACCTGTGCCAGACTGGAGGGGAGGAGTTGGTACACCTGTGCAAGACTGGGGGGGAGGAGCTGGTACACCTGTGCAAGACTGAAGGGGAGGAGCCGGTGCACATGTGCAAGACTGAAGGGGAGGAGCTGGTACACCTGTGCAAGACTGGAGGGGAGGAGCCGCTACACCTGTGCCAGACTGGAGGGGAGGAGCCGGTATGCCTGTGCCAGACTGGAGGGGAGGAGCCGCTACGCCTGTGCCAGACTGGAGGGGAGGAGCCGGTACACCTGTGCCAGACTGGAGGGGAGGAGCCGCTACACCTGTGCCAGACTGGAGGGGAGGAGCCGCTACACCTGTGCCAGACTGGAGGGGAGGAGCCGCTACACCTGTCCAGACTGGAGGGGAGGAGCCGGTACACCTGTGCCAGACTGGAGGGGAGGAGCCGGTACACCTGTGCCAGACTGGAGGGGAGGAGCCGGTACACCTGTGCCAGACTGGAGGGGAGGAGCCGGTACACCTGTGCCAGACTGGAGGGGAGGAGCCGGTACACCTGTGCCAGACTGGAGGGGAGGAGCCGGTACAC